GAAACTGAAACAAAACCATATAAGTACAACAATGGGAAGCCACTACTTGAGCCAAATATGGATGCAATCATCCAGAGATTTGTGCCGCTTTTAAGATTTTTTTCGAAGTGGTTTATGGAGAGAGCTGGAAGATCTAATGCATTGGTTACCTTTAAACAAGCTGACAAGATTATGTAAGGTATGCGCATAGGAAGGTGTTGCCTAAAGATTGAGGAATGTATTCTGGTGCTGTAGGAGCTTTGATGTTGTATCAAAGGGGATCTTATTGGAATGTATTTGGGACCTGAAGATTTTAAATTGTTATTCATTTAAAGCTTAGAAAGAGGTAATCTGTAAATACTTTCTTGTGAAGGTTAATGCAGTAGGTGTTAAGTTTTTGAGTTATGTATTCGTTCTGCTTTTGGTGCTGGTGAACTGCGTCAGTATTATATTGCCATTGGTGAAGACAATGAAAAACAGTCCTCCCCAACATCAGGAGCTAAAAAACATAGACACTTCGAAGAAGATGACGTGTCTGTGTTGGACACCGAGTTTCTTCAAACACTTCCCAACATGTGTTTGACACATATCCAAATGTGTCTTATTATTTTTCAACACACTTCATTGGGGACATAAATGAGACACATTATGAGAAGAAACAAAGTAATCTGGGATCCAATGGTAAAAGAAAACAATGTACATTTATACCTATTAATTTCTCATCTTTTGTACTTCAAAAATTAGTGTTCTGTTGTTGTTGTTGTTGTTGTTGTTTTTTGTTATTTTTGTTATTTTTTTTTTTAAATTTATTTGTTTATTTATTTATTTTAAATTATGTTAATGCAATTTCTTTGAAAGTGGAGGAAATGTAGCAAGTTGTTTTGCAATATCCTAGCTAACAGAAGGAGGTTGCAGAGGGTAGGAGGGGAAAAAAAAAAACTTGGTAGGCAGATAATGAAGAGATAATGATGGGAAAAAAGAGGTTAGTTTAATAGGAAAGAAAACAGATTATGAAACAGAGGTCAAACTTACCCTGTTCCCTCTAAAAATTGTTTTCTTACATGGACATGTACTCAGCATTTAACTGCACTAATCAACTGCAGAGGGGCCAAACTCTTTACCTTTTACTTGTCCTTAAATTGCAGGTTGAAGCTGAAGAACAACCTGAGATTTCTGAGGCTTATTCAGTTTCTGCTGTACCATATTTTGTTTTCTTGAAGGTCACTTTAAATGGAAAATCTGTGTTTTTGTTTTGTTTTTTGCCTCTTTTTCTTCCCCTCACTCCTCCCCCCCTTCTCTTTTTAAGTTTTCATAAGTTTCCTTCCTTCTTTGCAATTTGTTTCTTGTGAATTTCTTTTCGAATAGGTAACTGAAAAGGACATTGTTTTTTGTTTGGATGGAAAGACTGTTGATACTTTGGAGGATGCGGATCCATCTAGTTTGGCCAACAAAGTTGCTAAAATTGCCGGGTCGATTGCTCATGGGGAACCTGCAGCTCCTGCCAGCCTGGGGATGGCCGCAGGGCCCACTATCCTGGAAATAGTTACGTTGTGTTTGGTTGAGAGATTTGGGAAGAGATTTGGAAAGGGAAAGGGAAAGGGAAAAGGTGTGTGAAATTAAGTGAAATGTAGTTATATTTTATTCACATTTCAGCTACCTTTTTCTTTTCTCTTTTCAAATCATTTCCTAAATCTCTCAACTAAATACAGCGTTAAGGAATTTGCTAAAGAAAATGGTTCGTCTCAAGTGGAAAGGCAATTGCCCTCTGGGCTTAGTGATGGAGTGAAAAAGTGACTTCAGCAGCTTATTGATTCTCAATCCATCATGCTTTTCATAAAGGAAATCCAAAAGAGCCCAAGTGTGGTTTTAGCCGAGAAATTGTTGAAATTTTGATCGAAGAGAGTCAAATTTGAAACCTTTGATATCTTGACAGACGCTGAAGCTTCCGAGGGGTTGAAGTTCTCTAACTGGCCAACGTTTCCTCAGCTGTACTGCAAGGGAGAGCTTCTCGGTGGGTCCTACATAGCAATTGCAATGCATGAGAGTGGTGAGCTAAAAGAAGTTTCAGAGATCATGGTGTCGAGTTCTATGATTCTAACGAGGCAAAAGTAACCAAACCCATTGGTGGAAAGGGTAGTAACATCACTGAATCCACTGGCTTGAGTGCATCCCCAACCTCCTAGCTTGAAAGTCTGATCAATTCAGGCCCGGTTATGCTGTTTATGAAGGGTCAACGGGATGAACCTGAATGCGAATTCAGCCGAAAGGTAGTTGATATTCTCCAACAAGAGAATGTCTGTTTTGAGAGCTTCGACATTCTTACTCACGATGAGGTTTGACAAGGTCTCAAAGTTTACTCAAATTGGTCCAGCTATCCTCAACTGTACATAAAAGGTGAACTTATTGGCGGATCAGACATTGTGTTGGAGATGCAAAAGAGCGGGGAACTTAAAACGGTGTTGGCCGAGAAAGGGATTATTCAAAAAGAGACTTTTGAGGATTGTTTGAAGAGATTAATTACGTCCTCACCTGTGGTCTGCGTTTTCATGAAGGGTACCCCAGATGTTCCGAGATGTGGTTTCAGTGCCAAGGTGGTAGATGCCCTAAGAAATGAGGGTGTGAGTTTTGGGTCCTTCGATATTCAATCTGATGATGAAGTAAGGCAAGGGCTAAAGACCTCAAACTAGCCAACCTTTCCAAAGCTTTATCACAAAGGTGAGTTAATAGGAGGTTGTGATATTATATGGAGCTGCTGAGCAATGGTGAGTTGAAATCTACCCTATCTGAATAGCTAGGGTTAGATATTTTTCCAGTTTTAATCATCCCAGTCGAACTGAATTTAGCAACATTCTATGAAAATTAAGACACCATGTTTTTAATGAATTGAATTAACATGCTTGACACCATCTTTAGGTTTCTCTGACGATGTTTTCTGTGGCTGGAACTGCTTGTTTGTGGTGTACTTTAAGCTATATATTATTGTTAACATCACTGTATAGGCGAGGCTTAATAGTTATGAACAAGAAATAAAACCTTCATTTTGGGGTAGGTACCCCTTTGCTTAATTATGCCACCTACTTGTGTCCATGTAAAATTTAAATGGATTAGAATTAAAACAACTATTTTATTCATTTTATTAACAACTATTTTCATTTGAATGTGAGTGGAGCGTTTTTTCATTCCCCTCTCATTTTATATATATATATATAAAATTTTATTATTACCGTATGAACATCATGATATTACAAAATAGGAGATGGGGTCTTGAACCACCAACCTCTCCGAAAGTGTTTAAGGGTAGTGATGTCCATTTCTAACTACAAAATAATAATAATAATAATAATAATAAATTAATAAATAAATAAATAAAATAAAATTCAATTCGTCCAAACCAACTTCGGAAGTGATAGTCAAGTACCATAAAAAGCTACATTTTCATGCATAAAAAAATAATAAAACAATAGTATCCTTTCATGAAGATTAAAAAATCCATTCACGCCAATGGCCTATGGACCCCTTTTATTTATTTTTTTTTTTTGTGTAAAAAATATTTTTTATATTTAGGTCTCGTTTGGGATGTTACCTTTTTAGCCAATTAGTCAAAAAGTTATTAAATTAGCCAATTAGCCAATTAGTCATACCAAAAAGTCAACAATTAAGGCTTCTCTCTACTTTTTGCACAGCTTTTCGTAATTAGTCAAAAAATCATCCCAAATATATAAGTTTTTTTTACCTACCTTTTTAGCTAATTAGTCAAAAAGTTACTAAATTAGCTTGTTCCCAAACAAGGCATTAGTTATGATCTTTAAAACTGTGTTAGTGATTGTGTTATTTGTGATGGTCGTGGTGGGATAGTAGATGGCTAGACAAAGATGGTTTTTAACTTTTAAAATTGAAAGACACTATTCTCTTAAAGGAGTTTGGTTTTTGTTGAAAAATAATTTTCAGTGGCTTTAGTTTTTGTGGTACCAAACATTAGAAAGTGTACACAATTTTTGTTTGTTTGTTTGTTTGTTTTTTCAATTCAATTTAAGGGAACATTAATTTTAAAACATTTATGGAAGTTGTAGCACTTCAAATTGAATTTATCAGCTGCAACAATTCATGAGCTAATTGGATCCAAGGACCATTGTATTATTCAACCTCAGATGCTTAGTAATGTTTTTGTTTGGTATTTCTTTTGGTTTTTAAGAAGTTATAAATAATTTACAAATTTTACTAAATTCTTTTAGTTATAAAATAGTTAGTTTCACTTATTTATATATATATACATTCTTTCTCCCATCTCTTCTTATCATCACCCATTTTTATCATCACTACTGACTACCATTGTTGATGGCTTCGTCTGACAACCACCTATGGCCACCACCTCCCACCAACGCCTTTTGCAGGAAATCACTTTTTACCATTACTTTAGGTGGCTGGCCAATCACCATCTTCGATTGTCGACAACCACTTTTGGCCACCATCTCCAGAGACCGACAATCACTTTCAGTTATCATCTCCAACTGTCGACAACCTCACGGATCACCCCTTTTACTTGTGTCAAATTAAGTTTTTAAAACAGTGTACAAGATGTATAATGCTTTTGTTTTTACCAAAAATAAACAGGAACAAGTTTAATATTTTTTTTGTAAACTATAAACTTTACCAAACCATACCTAAGAAATCAACTTGCTTTACACACCTCTGTTATGGCATGAAGAACTGTATAATGTGTTCCTTCCAGGACTTTAACGGCTACATTCGGAATTCAATAGCTGTTATTATCTCCATTTTTTGGGGGGCCATTTGTCAGGTGGAAGCTCGCAATATTTTTGCTTTGGCATGAATAACAAGATTTCACTTTAGAAAACAAAATATTGCACGAAACAGTCCCATTTCGATCCACAAGATGCATTACAAAATATGAAAGGAAGGTTAATGCTTTCACATGCTATTCAAACCAAACAAGTTACAGTATGGTAAAATCTGATCCATAGAATGAATATGCCAAATGCCAATGCCTGCTTATGATTTGATTTGCACATACATGAATGTCATACCAACAAAACTGACGCAAAACTCAGTTTTACAATTTGCATTCTATGACTCAAATAGAGATCCGCAAAAATTACATTAACAAATCTAATGAAATACTTTGAAGATGTTTATGAATCTTTAAGAAAATGAGGCAAGTTTCTCAAAGTGTCATTCATTTCCACAGAAAAAAGCAGATAACATTTTCATGGGAACAATGACAGAGACCTACACCGGAGAAATGAGGAGAAAGTACCATCACACTTGGAGGGAGTATAAAATAACAAATCAGATCATTTTGTTTCAATCTGCTTCACGCCAAGGATCTCCTTAGTTTCTTCGTCTTCGTTTATTTTATCAGCCTTCATACTGCACAGAAGCTCATCCACTTCTTTGCCACTCTGAATATTCGCCTTAAGCAAGACATGATACATCTGTCTATTCATCGGAATAACAGTCCTCAAGGAGGCGATAAAAGCTTCTGCATCATTTACGCTACCCGTATCACCAACCCAATTCAAAATGCCTGTAATAACCTTAGGATTGGGTTTCCATCGTTTATTTTCCACATGTAATGATAGAGCTGCCTTCATACACCCCTTAGCCTTCTCCATTTCTCCCTTGTTCAGGTAACCCTCAGCCACCTTGCCCCAACTATTTGGGGTCAAGGCCTTTCCCTTTTCCATCAAGTCTTCAAGCATTGCCCTGGCTTTCTCAAATAACCCTTTTTCACAATAGTCAACAATGACTATGTTTGGCACTCGGAAATCATAACAATTACCCGATGCTTCCCACTCCTTCAGCACTTTCTTAGCTTCTTCGAGTTCCCCAAGCTTCACCAGGGATTCCAGCATTGTAACATAATCCCGGTTGATGCACCTCTTGCAAGCACTCTTCTCAAGACCCCATAATCTCAAGACCTCGGACTTATTTCCAAGACCAGCATAGAGTGAAATCAAATGGTTATAGCCAAGACCATCTTTATTATCTAGTTTCTCCTCTGATTTTTTCAAGGCATCAATGGCCTTGTTGGTTAGGCCTCCCTTGATGTAAAAATTTGCCACAACTGCATACGTATTCCAATCCACGACAATGTGGGGTTGGCTCTCCATTTCTTTTAAAATATTTTCCATTCCTTCAATGTCTGATTTCACTCCATATGAATTGATGCAGATTCTGTAGCTGAAATTGTCAGGAGAAACTTTGTTCCTCTTCATCTCAGTTAGGACATCGGGGACCTTTTCATGCTGACCAATATTTGTGTACAAGCACATTATGTCATTGTAAGTGAGCGATGATGAAGCAAAACCCATCTCCTTCATTTTTTGCAAATGAGACAAGGACTTGTCAGTTTGGCGTTGTCGGACATAACAATTCAAGAGAGCACCATACGTCTTATTTGTTTTATCTTGGTCCTTCAAGTTATTAAAATAGCTTTCAGCTGAAAGAAATCCATGGACCCTCCCAATTAGATCCAACTGCACGGCATGCTCAATCGGTGAGAATGCACAAATACCTTTCTTACTCATCCACTCACAAACCTGCACCCATAAAGCATTGCAAAAAAGGTGATTACATAAGTAATTAAAATAAGAAATGAAAATAGGCAACCAAACATTTTGGTGCATAGTAGACAAGACATTGGTGTTATTGTTGGAGAGTTGGTTCCAGCAACCACCATGGTTCATTCATGCTGTCATGTCTGTGGTGAACATCAAATTACATGAATGGGAGATGTATAACAATTCGATTCCGGATTTAATTACTGTATTGGTATAATGGAATTTTTGGGAAACAAACAGCAAGCAAATGGAAACCAGTTCACATTAAAATTTGTTCTGCCATGGACTGGCAAGCAAGTTGGTTGTCTTGGATCTAGACCAGCCCAGATTTCAGGTTTCCCAAACAGCCCCTTGATTAATGTAATTTTGGCATGTTCGAACCTTGAATAATCGTGTTTGCTCTGACTTCTAATCCATGAATGTCATCACTAATACATCTCAATTTTCTTTTCCAAAGCACTCTCTTTGCAGAAAAACTCCATTCATGCAAATCTATTCTCCAAACTCAGAACCTTAATACCCAAACACAAAATTTCCAGAACAATTTCACAAAATTCGTAACATAGTTTTTGATTCACAAAAGAAATCTCTTTTTCACTACACCATTCTCGACTCTCTGCTTGTGGTTTGATTATCAAATACCAAATGTAAAAACAATAGCTAGTCTCTTAAAATTTACATACACACACATACAATCCCAACGAATATATATACTCAAAATGTAGATTCCAATGATCAATTTCAATAGAACATTCAGAAAAACAATGAATTTAAGGTCTTGAAGAGAAACTAACAACATAACAGAAGGGAAGAGAGAAAGCAAAACCTCGAGGGCTTGAGAGAAGCGTTTGCGCTTGCGGAGGTCGTGAATGATGCGCTGGAGCTCAGCAACACGGACCTTGTTGCCATTGTCGACCCAGACGTCGAGCTCTGGAGTCACGCTCGTGCTAGGGTTCCCCATCGGACTGATCTTCGAGTACAGTGTCACCTTCCCTTGCCTGTTGGTGTAGTACAATCTGCTCGAGCTCGCAATGCCATTGTTGTTGTCTCGAATTAGGGTTTCGAAGAGTCGACGAGTTGATTTCATGCTTGAATTCGAGCTCAATCGATTCCAGAGAGACAGAGAGAGAAGGGTTTGAGATTTCAGCGTAGAGACTGAGAAGGGAGGGTTTGAAAGCTGTGGACTTGGTTGGATGAGCATAAAATGGTGCATGGGCTTTTGAGGACCGTGGGCCTTAAAGATTATGGATGGGATTTGTTCAATTTTAGAATAAAGAGGCACTTATGGGTACAAAGTTTTAAATCTATTTAGTCCTTAAAAAAAAAAAAAAAATACATGTATTAATTAGCCTTATATATTTTTAATTATTATTAAAAAAATTATTATTATTATTTTTTATAGATGATGTTATATCTTATCACCGTCAAATTTCCGTCAGATGGTGATCGGAGGCTCATCGGAATATTCAACATCACATGAAAGTTGTCGGAATATCGTCGAAAATTTGCCACAGTATCGCTAAAGTGTTTTGAACGTCATTGGAAGTCACCGGAATGTCCAGAATGTTCACTGAATGTCAAGAATATTGTCAGAAACTCATCGGAATGTCTATAATATTATCGGAAAAAAATAAATGGAGAAATTAGAGCAAAAACATAACAAAATGTGCTAAATATTGATAAATTGAAAGAAAAAAAAAATGTAACAGCAGCAAACAATAACAATGGAAAAAATATAAGGTAAACTACCAATAGGTCATAATAGTTGAAATTAATTTCCATCAAATCCTATTGAAAATAAGCCTTAGTAACAATCATTATTAAAAATAAATTTGTGACAATTTTTTACATATGTCACTAAAAATTGACAATTAGTGATTTTTCTTTGTCACGATTTTTATAAATTGTTACTAAAAATTACAATTAGTGACTTTTTTTGTGATGAATTTTTCAAACTGTCAGTAAAAGTTGAAAATTAGCGACACTTTTTTGTGACGATTTTTTTAAATTGTCGCTAAAACTTATAATTAGTGACATTTTTTGTGACAAAATTTTTAAACTGTTGCTAAAAATTAATAATTAATGACTTTTTTTAATAATATATGATGAAAAATGTCATTAATTTTTATTGAACTTATTGGATAATAAGTTCACTTAGTATGACCTACATGTAAGTCCTCCAAAAATATATGTTATTTTTCAATTTTGGCAAGGTTTACGCAAATAATCTCCAACGTTGATTAAAATGAAAAGCAAACTTTGAAATTGTAAAATTGTTACAGTTTTAAAGTATGATTCTATTAAGTATTTGCCCTTATTAATCAAATTGGCAAAACATGGTATGAAATTACAAACTTTTGCAATTTTAAAGTATAATTCATTTCAACACCTAAAAAATTGAAATTGAGAAATTTTACAATTTCCATTACTTGTAACTAAAATTCGAAAATAACATGTTCAAATTTTGAAATTTTTTTCCACTAAAACAGGAAAAGAAAAGTGTGTAGTAGAGAAAAAGTAGAAAAACTAAGAGATCGAATGAGAGAAATAGATATAGAGAGAGGTTTGTACTCCGACAACTATTTTTGGTTTAGATCTAGATGGATCTGATGTAGATCTACTCATTTTCGTCGCGGGAAACTCATCTCTTTGATGGTAAAGTAAGGAGTCGGTGGTCGATGGTTGCCTGTGAACCCCAATCGATGGTAGTCGTCAGTGATTGTATATTAGAAAGAGAAAGAGAATAAGGAGAACATGCAGGACCTTTGGGTCTACTTAAAAGGTTATGCGATTAAATAGAGTATGCATCTTTCAAAGAGGACATGCGGGTAATTTCCTCTAGAACAAATTAAGAATCGAACTGATTGTCAAGAATCTTACAAAATTGCAATTGTAGTTGAACTGTTAATCTATTTAATCAGGTAAAAATTAAGCTATAAAAATTGATTTGATTTGATTTGGTTTATGGTTCAATTATATGGTTTTAAAAAATTTATATGACAAACAATATTGTATATTTTATAATAGTAATGGATAAACTACCAACAATTACAATGGTTTAGTTCATTAGAGCTTGTAAATTTCATAATCAACACTAGTGTTTAATTTTAGGGTAAATTTCATAATCAACAATTACTATCTTATCCTTAGCTATATTCTTTCAAATGCATGAAGAGTAATGCATATTTCCATGTTTTTAATTGATAAAGGTTACATCTCCATGATTAGGTGACATTTTGATATGCCTTCCATGCCATAAGTTAAAGTCTTGTTGGAAATAATTTCTTTACTAAAATTGCATAAAAAGGCATGCTCCATTTAGTAGAATGGTTCTTAAAGGATATTACATGTGTATGCTTTTGTTATGTTAGCTTTGTTCTTTTCTTCATGGTTGTTAATAATTAACGTTAACCCATCTCATAATAGTGCTACAATTGATCAATAATCTCATCACTTCTATTCGTTATATCTTTAATTATTACAAAAAGATGACATATGCAATATATATTCACCAATCCTAGATTCTGAATCTATAGCATATGACATGGATACAAGAGTAAAAAGAAAAATAAAACCAAGTAATGAAATGCCTTAATGGCTATAACTTTCTAAGACGATGCTTGGTTACAACAAAATGAGTTTAAACTCAATACAAGTAAAGCCATGGGCTTAAACAAAATAAATACATCAAGAAACAAAAAATGAAGCCTTAAGCCCTAAGTCCTCCCAAGTTACGTAATTGGTGGAGGCATATCACACTACAAGAAAAAGCACCTTTGGCGACTAAATTTTTAGTCGCCAAAAGTCCTTTTTTAGTCGCCAAAAGTCGACTTTTCACTTTCCCCGACTAAATATTTTAGTCATCGGTTTTGTCGCGAATACATGGTCGCCGGAGGTATTGGCCACTAAAAATGTTTTAGTCAGCAAAAAACAGGTCTTCAGCGACCAAAGCTTTTGTCGCCAATAGTCAATTGCATTTTTGAAAATTATACATTCAGCTACTAATCTTTTAGTCGCCAATAGTGAATTATGTCTTTTTATTTATACATTTGCCGACTAAGCTTTTCGTCGCCAATAGTCAATCTTTTGGTGACAACACATTTTAATCGCCAAAAGCATATTTCAGAAGAAAAAAATTACCCTCTGCTGTTGCCAAGTTTCGAACCACCAACCTCCCACATTCTAAACCTTTAGCAACACACTCTCTCCACTATGTCAGTACAACATCACATGAACATAAATGCAACATATATTATTTATACAGTATATTGACCGGTATTAATACAAAACTATATATATAAAAATAATTATTTTTATTTAATATAATTTATGTAAAAAATAAATTATTTACTAAAAAAAAATTGAGGCCACTTTTGGCGACTAAATCCATTATTTAGTCGCCAATTCTATAATTTTGGGCTACTAATTATTTTTTAGTCGCTAAAAAAATAAGTTCCGCCTAAAAATAACCAGTTTTGGCGCTAAACCTGTTTTTAGTCGCCAAAAAGTCCCCTTTTGGCTACTAAACTGAATTTTAGTCACCAATTGCCTGTTTTTAGCTACTAATTTTTTTTTAGTAGCCAAAAAGCTTCACTTTCAGCGACCAAACTGTTTTTAGTCGCCCAAACATGTATAATCGGCGACCAAACTGTTTTAGTCACCAAAACCGTCACTTTTGGCTACTAAAAAACCTTTAGACGCTAAAACCCATATAATCGGCGACTAAATTGATTTTTAGTTGCCAATAACTATACATTGGGCTACTAAATTGTTTTAGTCACCAAAAGTTTTCACTTTTGGCTACTAATTCCATTTTAGTCGCTGAAAGTTCTACTTTCAGCGATGAAATTTTTTTTTTAGTCACCATTTGTGCTTTTTGTTGTAGTGTCATCAACACCTGAAAGTTGTTTTCCACATAAGGTGAGCCACAACCCAGTAGAGATACTCTAACATAGTATATGAATCTTAGCAAAATTATAAGGTGGACGTACATGCATGCCATTTGTCAAACATTCTTCGTTTTCTATCTCAAAACAATGTAATGCTAAATTATATATCAATTCAAAAAATAATCCTTTTATACAAAAAATAGGGTAGTGGATACAACACACTGGGAATCTCTAGGCACGTGTTTGTCTGTAGGCTATATAAATACAACCAAAGCCATTTTATAGCGACCTTGGTTTGAATCCGACCCGTTGATGTTTTGGATTCGGGTTTCATTTCATTTTATGGTTGTTCATGTCTTGCTTCTCTTTTTTGCGTGTTGGGGCTAGTTCTTGGAGTGTCTTAGTTGCATTGGGAACATGTTGGTGACTTGTTTCTCAAACGGTTGTTATCCATAAATTTTCTTCAACGCTCGAGTGGCACTTCCTGCGCTCGAGCGGTCATTTTGAATTTCTAGCACTTTTGCAGGTTGGCAAAGATACAAAGAGTTGTTATTCTGCGCTCAAGCGACTATTCTTGTGCTCAAGCGGTGTTCGCTCGAGCGGCACTTCTTGTGCTCGAGCGGTGGTCACCTGTTTGTAAAACTTCTAAGAGTTTGTATTCTACGGTCGAGTGGTACTTCTTGCACTCGAACAGTCACACTTTTTGTGTCTGGACGCTTGAGCGTCACTTCTTGCGTTCGAGCGGACTGTGCATCTTTATAAGGTCATAGCACGTTGAAAAATTAACTTTTTGCTTTTCTCTTTCTCTTCTCTCTATTCCTTTTTGCCATTGTAGGGTTTCTTGGACATAAAAGCTTGGGTTTCATCTAGTTACATACATTTGCTACCCCTAGTCCTATAGATCAAAACGTAGAGGGTCGCGAGGATCTGAGCGGATCGTGTTTTCGTCAGCGGTGGATTTCAGCTTTTCTCCGAGCTCCTCTTCAATACCTCTTTATAGATAGACTTGTCGTATTTTCACTACATTTAAAAGCATAGTCAGTGGTTGGTTTTGTTAAAAAACATATAGGTGGATTTGGGTTTAAAATGGTGAATTTGTGGGTTTGTGTATAATTGGTTGTGGGTTATAAATCATGTTTAGGATGTAAATTGGAAAGGGTTTGGTATACCGTTTGTTAATTTGAAATGTCAAGGAGAAGTCTAATGTTGAATAGAAATGGGGATGTGATGTGGTTGTCTATGAATAATTGGGATTTTGAAACTAACATTGGAGGACGTGACCATTGTGGTGTTAATTGGGATTTGGA